TAAATCAATATGCCGATTGATGCATGACTCGTCCGAGTGCATTGCTTCCAGGAATTCGCTCCCTTTGCCTATTGGGCAGGCGCCAACAGTGCGAGTGTTCTCCCGTGAAAATTGGTGTCCGATGTTCAGTGTGTGCATAGCCACCTGGGATAGGTGATCTCGTCTCTTCAACACTTAATGATGCTCGTGTATGCGGGTTGATGCAGATAACAGAGTCTGGCCACAATAGACGGCATTACAACTGGAACATGGGATCTTTTAGAAAAAACCTTTCCTATCGAGATAACCTTCTCTGTCTTTAAGGTGTACAAGCTTCGTACGCAGAGTGGTAGCATGTTCGTTTGCTACTTGTATCGGATACTTCTTCAGCTGTCCATCGACGAGCTCAAGTATATTTTTCACGTATATGACAGTCTACCAGGTGAGTGGTTATAGTGCCTACTCTCAAAATACCTTTCTGTTTAAACGCATGTTCCAGTTGTGATGCCGTCTATTGTGGCCAGACTGGGTTATCTGCCTCAACCCGCATACACGAGCATCATTAAGTGTTGAAGAGATGAGATCACCTATCCCAGGTGGCAATGCAGACACTGGACACCGGACACCAAATTGCACGGGAGAGCACTCACACGAGTTGGTTGGGTCTGTGCGGCGCTGGTTGTATTAGCTGGAAGGGTAAAAGAGAAGACTGCCCCACGCACATAGATAGATAGATAAGTTTTATTAAAGACCCGTCGCGGTCCCATCAAAGCAAGTTAAAATAAATTTTATGCGAGTTTTAGACGAGGTAGGCCGAATCTTTACAAAATGCAATGCATAGTTTCTGAATTAGAAGTCCATTGAGAAACATGATGATTGAGGGGTGAAAAAAAACTCCTTACAAAAAGTTAAAAATGATTGGATTAATTTTACAGGAGGAAAAAACCCCTCAATAAAAATAATGACAGAAAAAAGCGAGCAGGACTGCCCAGTAGGTGGCGGTATGTAACGGAATGTTGTCGGTCATCGTCAGGGTAGCAATAAATCTCAGCCTTGAGGGGTACGTATGTGGGTCGGACAGGACTGGCCTACATGTGGTACTCTATACGCGATTTAGAACCGACATCGTCAGGGCAAGATTGATACGCCGGATGAGACTATTCGCTTCAAAGAGGCCAGACGAGAGGAACCCAGACGCGATCGTTTACAGTACGCTTCGAGCTCAGCCGAGGAGAAGGGAAGGGAGGTACGACCGAACTACTAGTAGACGGTGAATACTGAGGGTTTCGCTGTGAGCGCCAAGACCGCATGAGGTCGGAATGCGGGAAATAACATCAAAAACCACAAAAATTGTCGCTATGGGGGAGGAGTGATAGCAGTGGATTTAGAAACCAATTCAAAACAGGGGTTTCTAATGATATAATTAAGAGTTACCACTAGATCTACCACTTAATCCCAGGAGGACCCTTCTGGAAGTCAAGTATCAGAGTGTTCGGGAATGAGACCGTTAACAGTGCCTTTATGCTTTCCGGAGTAAGATGTTTGCGTAATTTCGACTTGAATACCAGTAACTTAGGCGATGACCTAATTTCTGGCAGAAGATTATTACAAAGGAAGGCATATTTGGAAGAAAAGAAGAGGGAGCGCTTAGATGTAGTACAAAGAGGCGGCGGAATCATCATGCAGGAGTTGCGCGTGGCATAAGACCGATCTCTCTGAGTGAGAGGGTCAATGTGCGGAAGACTGGAGCTAGAATTGATGCGAAAAAGGAAGCAAAGGCCAGCTTCGAGTCTTCTAACTCACAAAAACTTCATGGTCGACAGATGACATCTTTGAGTATTAGAAATACCGGACAAAGCTTGAGAGAACAGTTTCCGGGTGAAAACCCTCTGAACATTTTCGAGTTTATTACGGTCGCAGGCGTTCATTAAACCGAAGAAAGAACAGCAGTATTCGAGGACTGGAAGAACAAACATTTGATAAAGTCTTAGATTCATTTCCGGAAGGAAAAAATTATGCGATATGAATCCACATATCTGCGCGGCTTTGGCAGAGATTCTATCTGCATGAGGTGATAAAGCAAACTTATTCGTATAACTTAGACCTAGGTCCTTTATGGTGAGGCATTCTGAGAGTGGGTTATTCTGAAAAATTATGGGACCAGGAAGTTTGGTAGGACCAAAAGACATGAAACCACACTTGGATGATGAAAACTCCATCTGCCATGTCGAACCCCATCTGCTTAAGCGTAGGAAATCGGCAATAATTTTTTCAACACAAGCATTTGCGGTGTCCTTAGAGTATGAGTAAACACACTTGAGGTCATCGGCATAAGTAAAAGTTTGCGAATTTCCGAGTTCAGTCGAAACATCATTGATGTAAAGAAGGAAGAGTAGCGGACCCAGAACCGTTCCTTGAAGTACGCCACTCGTGATCGAGTGGGGTGTCGAGTAGCTATTACCGACCATGACTTTCTGATATCGGTTGGACAGATAGGACCTGATGAAGTCGAGTAGAGGCTGCCGGATGCCGAGAGCTTCCAATTTTACTAAAAGACGTCTATGGGGCACCTTGTCAAGGGCTTTGCTAAGATCAAATTAAATAACAACCACTGACTGCCGCTCATTACGAAGAGAAGTGATTAGATTAAGAAAAGCCAAGTGACATGTTTCGCATGATCGTTCAGGTAAAAATCCATGCTGACTAGAGCTCAGAAGCTTTTCAAGAAGTTTTGCTAGAGACGGCGTTTTGTGCACGCCCCGATAGTTATTAACATCGGACCGAGATCCTGACTTGAAACGGGAATGATAATTGACGTTTTCCATGTTTCAGGAAAGAATCCTTCTGAAATATAAACCGAGAATAAGTGGCTGAGCAATATGGAAAGGTCGGACGCTTGTTTAATAATCGAATTCGGAATCCCGTCCGTTCCTGAGCAGTGTGAGTATTTCAAACGGCTTATGTGTTTCTTAATGAGATCTGAGGAGACATCAATTGTACTAAGTGTCCTATCTGAAAGTGATCGAAAGAAAGGGACCGGATCGGACTCGGTAGCAAGGTATTTTGCAAAGAAAGCACTAAACAACTCCGCCTTGTCAGTGTCATCGGTGAAGAAGACTTTGCTATCGTTTAGCTGGGGTGGAAGTTCGTGACCACGCTTAGAGGAGGACCGATGACGGAAGATGTTAGCGACGGATTTGCCAGGGTTCGAACCAATGAGAGCAATTGATTCTCTTTGCCTGTCGCGCGCTTGGCGCATCCTTGAGGCCATCTCAAAAATTTCTGTGATTCTAAGATGAACTGATAAGGAACCAGTGGATAGGTCACGCAGATGTCGCCTCAACTTTTTAAGCTGTTCTGAAGAAAATGAGGAACAAGGGAATCTGAAGAATTAGGCTTGAGATATCTACGCGGCACAAACTCTAGAATGTCCTTGGAAACATTGGACATGACATCACGAAGAATGGTTACATTGCTACAAGTGAGGAAGCCACACCAATCCAAGGATCTCATATAGTTATTTATTAATTCGCTATCTACGCAGTCGTAGTTCATGTAAGTCCAAAGTTTGCTTTCCTTTTTTGAAAAGGCAAGCGGTAAGCAACAATGAAATAATACGTGGTCACTGTCAAAGAGGTCCTTTTTTAAAGCAACAGAAAGAGGAGCAATGTCATTGGTAAAGATTGGATCTAAAATGTGATTATATCTTGTTGGAGAGCGCACCAGTTGGGACCAATTAGAAAAATTGACAATATCTTGAAAGGGCTGGAATCTGGGTTGGCAGCTATTGGAATCCCAGTCAATTTCAGGAAGGTTAAAATCCTCAGTGATTATTTTAACATCGAAAGCAGCTTCCGAAATTAATTTAAATATTTCACAGAGTTGAGAATCATCACTGGCTAAAGAATATTGGGGATTGTAGATACAGCCAATAATTGCCTTTCTTTGTGGCGAGAGAGTAACAGATGCAAAGCAGAAGTTTCCCGTGAATGAGGAAACATCAAAGTAATAGGGAGAGTGCTTTAGGTAGGATTTAAGATAAAGAAGACAACCACCCCCACGCCTAGTCGTGCGGTCTTGGCGGTAAAAATCGAAGTCATCTATGAGAAGGGCAGAGTCAGGAATTAGAGAATGTGTCCAAGACTCTGTTACACATATAATATCAGGCGTCATTTCCAGAGCAATGGCTCTGATTTGGGCCATCTTGTTTATAGCAGACCTGGCATTCAATAATATAATATCCAATGTGTTTCGAACAGCAATGCTATTTTCGACGGTATTTTAAAACATTTGGAGGCGGATATGTAAGTTGTGAATTAATGACACTTGGAGAATAAGTACCAGTTAATCTAGAGTTATTGACGTACGGGGAGTCAGCAAGAGAAGGCTGAGTATGAGACTTAAAGGATGTGGGGATATAGTTTTCAAACATTGGAATGCTAGGGGAGTTAGAACATGGATAGACTTGTTGGTAGTTAAATAATGGAGGAAGGGGAGGAGGAGGGCGGTTAGAAGGAAAGTAGGGGGCAGTGGGTGAGGGTAGGCCGCTATAAGAATGAAAGGGTGGGAAACCAGGTCTAGGTTGGAAGTCAAAGGAGATAGGTTGACGTACCTGAGGGCAATTGGCCTTAAGTGGTGGTAAGCCTGAACTGGGTTGGGGCATAAATGATTTAGGGCAATTCATGTATGAATTATTTGATGGATATATAGTAGGGCTTTGATAAGTAACCGGTACGCAGGACCGAGAATTATTTGGGGATATAATTGGAGCTGCGGGGTTTGTAGACGTGCTGGGCTGAAAAGACTTGGTAGATCTGAGAGAAGGCGTCGTACCCCTAAATAGATCTGTACTACCTATCTTTTGGTTCGGAGTCTGATTCAGTTTTGGAGTCTCACCGTTCTGACGCCAAGCCACGGGTGACTTAACTGTAGACCTTACAGCACCCAGTTGGACAACAGAAGTTATCGGTCTAGCTGATGTAGACGGATTTCCATGTGTCTCAGCGGGACTATCCGGAGGATACGAAACGACAAATGGGGCTGCTGCTGCAAGTTTAGGGGCAGGCAAATGCGTCAAGTGGCTTGAGTGAGATGGAGATGTAGGAGAAAGAGGAAGGAGGGAGTCAGATGTCGCAGGAGTAGGAGAAGCTGAATCTTCACGGCCATTTGTATTATGACCGAATTGGTGAGCATTAGACTGAGAAGCAGTGGGTTCACGTGAGAATAGAGACCCGATTCTACGCTCCATAGGAGTAAGTTCATGACAAAGGAAAAATTTTGCCTTTTCTAGGTACGCAGTGACACGCTCTGGATGGGTAAAGATTGTGTCAACCTCGTTTGATGAAAACAATTTGACTAAGATGAGTGGATTTTTGCTACGGGAGGACAAGCGTTTGGCATCAGCTATTTTGTAGTTAAAACCGCATGAATACAGGAAATTGGTCGCAACATCAATTGGCCGAGCAGATCGAGGAACATTTTTTAGCAGGAAGTTGTAAGAACGCTTCTGTCTATCACTAGATTCACTGGCGATCAGGTGAACAAGTGAGTCGAGACGCCTACATTCTTCAGAGGGAATATCGGAGATGTTCCCGTCGAATAAATGTCCAAGAATTGTCAGCAAAGAGCCAAACTTTAGCATAAAGTCATTGCAGTGGCCAAGTGCAGACAGATTAAGCTGCCGACCACTTACAACGGGTGACGACTGACTAGTAATATCATCTGACTTAGATTTAGGTAAAGCTTCTGACTTACGTTTAGTTAGGCCATGTTTACTTACAAGAGCCGAGAGCTTACGTCGACCAGTGACTTTTGGTCTCATCTTGTCTCGAGGCAATTTGCGAGTAAGAAAACTTTTGACAGATAAGTTGACTGAATTTCAGCTAGGGGCTAACGATGTAAAAATAAATTACAACAGTTAGAGAGAAATCGGATGCACAAAATGAGAATTGCAGGGTGCGATTATTGAACAACGGGCATAGACTAGCAGAACTCAAAAGGAGATGGCAGCAGGCAGTTCTGAGAGAAGAGGCCTGTATTTAAGGAAATTTAACCAAAAAAACAGGTACTTAAATCGTTAGGTCTCACAGAAAAACCACTTAAAATAATATCCTCCACTTATCTTCAAATTTAAAACCAGCGGCTCGACCTTGACCTTGTCTTGATCTGGCTCTATAACAAGATCACCGCCAACGAAATCGACGATGCAATATGCGCTGAATTACCTGACACCGACGTCGCCAATTATTTGCATGAAGTTGTGGCAAGGAATAAGTTATATGGACCTTGAGGTGCATTGAATCCCAATTCTCCCCCCCCCTCCCCACCCCATCCCCATGCTCCGCAGTTACCGGTAACAACTGAAGTCCCTTATAGCAAGGACGATCAGCGGAAGACGTTGGCAAATTAGCAACCGTACGAATACGAACCGGTGACAAACAAGTCGGTAACCGCTGGGTTGTTTCGTATTCGCTTTTACTCTTAGAAGTAAATGAAGTTCACATAAACGTGGAAAACTCCGGGAAATGAATTAGGTACATTTGTAAGTACGTGAATAAAGGCAGTCAAGTGGCCGTTTTCGGCCTCCCCCACACGAAAGGACAGAAAGGGATGCGGAACTACAGCTAGATAAAATAGCACAGTATCAGGCTGGAAGATGCGTCAACAGCAACAAAGCCGTGTGGCGAATTCATTCATTCCTCATCCATTAGCGAAGTCCCGGTGTTGTTCATGTGCAGTACACTTAGTGAATGGGCAATGTGTAACAGATTGTCTTAGGTCCACTGGCCACAACATTAACTGTGTTATTCACGTTAAGCCAAACTGACGCGTTTGCGAACTGTCAGTACCGGGGTTGAAGGAATTTTCTTCTGATTTGCGCCAGGATGGACTGAGAAAACGTTCCTAATAAGATTAATTTTGACAGCAGTATGATCCAAAAATGACATAGCCTTAGCACTTGCATTCTCCGAAATAGCTACAACATTGCTACCCGGCGGAAGGATTGTTTATTCTGCTTTGAAATTGCCGTTGAACGTGTAATTCATTGATACTCCCACGTACAACAATTCCAGCGCATCTGGCACGGGAAAAGAACTACAGAAATGCAAACTTAGTGTTTGGATTAAATGCACTATGACTCGAGGCCAATGATCGAACACTGCATGGTTTGCGCGGACAACAGCCGAAGAAATAAGTGTCTGTCTGAAATACCCTACTTTGCGGCGCCATGTTCAGACGATAAAATAAACTACAGTCCAGTTTCAAAATGTCCGAACAGCTGAGATATTCTCACACATTAACCGGTACCGTTCATTTCTTAACTGCCAGCAATTAATCTGAATTCAAGATGCAGTTCCCTACCTTCACCTTCGGAAGTTTAGTGTCCTTAAAAGAAGACTTGGTTGGAAAGGTATTTTCCAATATACAGACTATTCAGATTGGCAAAGTTGAGATATCCGGGTTGATTAATTGAAGGCGAAGACAGGCTCTCCGGAAGAGGTTTATTTAAGTGCTGACGTTTCAAAGAGCTGGGTCGGCTCTTCATTGTCAAAGCGTAAAATGCACTTAATCGATCAGAAATTTAATTTAAAGTGGCAGTCGTGTTGGCCGGCCTCATGCTGACTAATTATACCACTGGATTGGTTGGGCGAACGAGCTATTCTTGCGGCCAAGAACAAAGATGTGTACCATCTTCACCATATAATTCAGTGTAGGATTCAAAGCGAACCAGTCATGTACACGTCCGTTGACACTGTTGTGGACGCAGACGAGGCAGTAACTCATCCAACAGAATTTTTTGAATTCACTTGATCTGCCAGGGAAGCCGCCGCACGTACTGCAATTGAAAATCGGCATGCTGACTACCATGTTGCGTAATATCAACCAGTCGAAACTTCACAACGGCACGCGACTTGCAGCAAAAATTAATGAGGCAACGTCGTGGAAGCAACTGTTTCGGCAGGACCTTCCAAAGTTGAACATGTCCTGATTCCACTCATTCCAACTGATATGTTATTCCAGTTTAGGTGACCGCAGTTGCCGATTGGATTGTCGCTTGCAATCACCATCAACAAAGCTCAGGGTCAATCTCTAGAACTGTGCGGTTTGAATCTGCAAAACGGATTGTTTCTCACGTAGCCAACCATGTTTTACCTGCTCCAGAGTCGGCAAACCAGAAAATCTATGTCTGCACAGACAAAATGCATTGTATGCCCACAAGCATTATGAAATTAAGCATATTCAAAACACGTCCCCTGTCCACTTTACATCGTTCCCCATGTCATCACATTGCGCCACAGCAACGCGCGGTGGGGATCCAGCTAGTAGGCTGATAATTATTTACGAAACTGAATGACTTTAAACAAATGCCCAGTGTCGACCTTGAGCGCTGCCATGGCAGAGCGGCCCCACACTATCCAAATGATGCCAGGAGGGTTTTATTCTAACCAGCATTGAAATCCTTGCGGTTTACGCCTGAAGCCCTTGGACCTGTGAGTTGAGTAAGCTCTCAACTCTAAACTTTACTGTCACATAATAATCAGAGCCCGTTTTGGCACTGCAGCATGAGAGAAACCGTACCCGAAGCGCTTTACTGGAGCAAAGAAGAGGTAGCAGACTGGATTGTAGAACTAGGCTTTCCATATTACCGAGTAAATAAACAATCAAATGCATTTACACAGGCCTGTTTTCTTGACAATCTTATAGATGGTAGGAAACTTATAACTGTTGATGCATCAGCATTACCGAAAATGGGTATCCAAAATTTTGAGCACATCCTGGTATTGCACAAAATTCGCTAACTTCCCAGGCAATTTCCAAAGAAATCAGAAAGATTCTACACTTGGAGAAACCCAACTATTACCGGACAATTAGACTTCCACCCAGAAATACTACTGGTAACGTAGTAAATGCTGCTGAAATATGACGCTTAGGCATGTTTCTGGAAATGAAACTAAAGCACCACCCGCTTGCCGAGCATTCACTAGCGAGATTTAAGCGTGAAACGGAGGACGTTATTTGGGAACCGCCAATGACTACTGAAGGATTTATATATAATTACCCAGGATGGTCACCATACAAAGCTGAGGCACTACACCCACATCCGGGGTGCAAATGCGAAATCACGCGTGCCATGTCCGAACTTGGGTACCACAGACCAGACTACCTATTTCCGCATTAGATCTAAGGTCTTTTGGATAGTTAACCCGACCAAAAGGCCTTAAAGCTGCATCGAAGCTTCATTTCATTTTTTACGACAATGATACCTAGTTGTAGACTAGGCTGTTTTAAAAAAACAAATAAACGGTACTATAAAATTCCCATACAACTTTAAAGGTCTGATCATACCATGTTCCCGAGTTAATTAGCCAGAAACATCGTCTGCTCATTTGTTGAGGGCAACGATGGCCCAAAAGGGACAAATCCGTTAAACATGAGTCACCCCACAAGACCATTGTGTTCACAATTGTGAATGCAAGATCTGCAGGTTCCCATACTTATTTTTGAAGTCCAAGTTAGAGTCCCGTTCAAGCGTAACCGAACTAAACAAATTTATCGGAAGCCGTTATCGGTTAGTAAGGTTCCAATCGTGCGACCAAGTAACTTGAAAGCTTTCGTTTAAATCCAGAGAGCTGACGTTGTCAAGGTCAAAAAAGGACGTTTAATGAAATTGGAAGTATGAAGACTGACGTAACAACAAAACCCAAAAATCCGCTACACCAAAGGTTTAGGTACTTGATTGAATCCGGATCGATGATCCTTAAGAAGCGGGTTACTAAGGTGTACCGTGGCTTCTTTAATTTACAAGGAGGTAACACCATACCGGTTTCTGGACGACCAACATTGGCGAAAGAACTAAAGGTAAAGATGGGCCATCCGTCTGTCTTTGTGTCCAACATTGAGATGTGATTCGACATCCTCTAATCCCTGGAGCACAATTTTAGGGACGACCCAGGACATTCTAGCAAGCTTAAATAGCAAACGAAAGTCTGTGATTTTAATTTCATACGCATGGATTGGAATGAACTTCAAGTTTGATGAGGGACTACGCGATTTACGTCGAAGTTGGTCACCTTGCGTACAAAACTACAATACCGAAAACGCATTGTCCTAAAAAGCAAGGTACGTGAATAGGGGCGATGCAGAAGTTCAACTTTCTGAGCACCGGATTCCACTATGGAGCGATCAAATACACAAAACGACCTAGATTTCAGACTAAGTCACGAATTCGAAGTAGTAATTACGCATCAAATTGTCAGCAAAGACAAACGAGAACATGACTTTTGGCGTCAGCTCTTAAGATCAAAACAGCATGGATTATTAAGAACGTTAATAAAATACTTTCCACGTTATCAAAATAAACCAAAATTGCAATTCAAAAGATCTATCAAAATGCAGTCTCACCAAAAATGCAAAGTACACATCCAAAATAAGTTGACACATAAAGACAGAAAATTAAATGACTAGGTATACACTAAGAAAACAAGGACGATTAAACGTATGCAGAAGCAACTAGTTCATCCGTGGCAATCCGTTTGAGAGTTGGCCAGTCAACATCCAAATGGGCTCGCCAAAATCGAAACGAGCGACACCAGGCCTGTGCGGGAAACTGAGGGGAACTTATGCCGTGAAGAATGTTGGCCAGAATCCGACCAGTAAGCTGACCTTGCATACTGACGCCATGTATTTGCAAAAAATCTCGTATTGTACCCCTGATTGACTCCTCCTAGGAAAGTTTTCAAAAAGGAAAGAAAGAGGAGGTTTTAAGAAACCCTAAAAGTAGGTAGAGGAGAACACATCGTTGTTCAAAATCGTCGCAGCGCTCTAGTTTAGAATGTCCGAAGTTGCAAACAGTTTAGAGAGGTTATAGGTATGGTAGTACAGGCGGATAAAACTTACTTTCAGATGGAGTTTAATAAATGAGCTTTATTTCCTTCGTCATTATTCGTTGGCAAGAGCTAGCTAGAAATTGCTTCAGGAAACGCGTTGCGGCTTTAGAAAAAAAAACCTCGGAGAATTCTAAACTCTCAAGGTTAACCTTAAAGTACGCTGGAGTCGCTTAGGTATACGAGCTGACGGACTGATGATAAAGCATTCTCACTTTCGCTCAAGATTTAACTGTCGGCGAGTGCTGCTCGACGAACGTAGCCTATCCCGAAAAAGTCGCCTATAAGATCAGATATAAAACGCAAGTTCAGCAAAGACCATTCACATAACCAGGTTTTCACCGTAACGTTGAGCGTGGTACAATATCAAGAGGAGAAACGCAAGAAAGCTAGGCTGCAATCCTAAGTAGCCCTTATTCGCCGGCTTTCCAATGAGAAATTTCTTCATCACTTTCGACTGCTTCCCATGGGAAACAAATTATTACTTAGGTGGCAAATGGTTTCCTTCAGTTCTATTTGGTTCAAATAAAGGCTGTCGAGTAATGCCTTCCTTAAAATAAATTTTCATCAAACAACGTCAGTTTAAGCTGTGGGTACTGATTTGATGGTGTCAGAATAGCTGGGATGAAAATCGCTAGACCAATAGGATAGCATCACCGACAAAGACAAGGGAGACCGGAATGACCATTTATTGCTTATTGATCGTCGTCAGCTAGTCACACTCAATCCCGAGGTGTGGAACGCCTGGGACTCGGTCCTGCGACCTGTCGGTAAAAATTCCAACGTTTCTAAACACGGGGCCACGGGCTCGTTGCCCTGCCGGTTGCGATCGGGAATACACAATGGCAGATGAGCGCTCACCGATCGTGTTATGGTGAGCGCCCCTCTACCACTCTAGATCAACGTCAGATCGGCCCAAGTCAATTGAACGGAACCTTTTTGGACATAACAGACTGCTCTGGCAGGAATGGGGGCACCGACCTAGTGGTTTTCCGAAGCAACAACCTCCGTGTCAAAGGCCACAAACAGGCAACCATCTAAAAGCGGGAGTGCAATCGCAGGATGATTTCAACATTATTTGACGACCAAAGTTTTTTAAAACCCAAGAATACCCCTCCTTCAAGTACTAACTTCGAAGAAGACGTGATTTTTTTAGAAAATGTGGACAAGAAAGAGTAGTTTTGGCTGTGTTTTCTATGAAATATATTTGGATTCATAAGGAAGTCATAAACCAAAGGGAAAATGTCATGCTAATTAAACAGTCGTTTCTCACCGTGTGGTTTCTGCAGGCGGGGCAGGAGGGGCTCATTCAAATGCCGTCATCGTGTCGTGCGTGGAATCATGCTGCACGATAATGCCCAATATTACAACCCCATCTAAGTACCCCCTTCTAGTCGAAAACACACTTCCAAATGCCGGCTAACATTTCCTAAGATGGAACGGCTATTGTATTTTATTCTTCCAGCATACCTTCTGGTTGTGCTATCTCCATGCAGTCATGGGGAAATCCGAAGTCTATCTTGCTCTGGACTAGCTGTATATACACTATTCTGGATCTACGACGATGTGCAATTTGGAAATTCGGGTTATGGGTTTGGGGCGACAGTCATGAAAATCACAACCAGTGCGGACTCTTCCGCCAAAGCCCAACGACCTATCTGAAGTTATCCGGCAAGGGAAGGAGGATCAACCTGAAGTTAACGATCACCTTTTGTGTATTGTTAGGAGAGGATACGTGTAACGTAAGGAAAAAGTCGAATATACCACTAACTTATGAGAGGTTGCACAAGCCAGCTAAAGAAAACAGCAGGCATTAAATTTCAAAGGTGACCAAACGAAAATCGTAAAAAAGTTTCCATTAGTTTAATGCATAAGCAGTTACCCCTCAAGGAGGTGTCGCCTCCTAGGAAACAATTAAGGGAAATCCATTTCCCAACAACCCCTCTTAGGTTAAATAAATGAAATTTCGGTTGGATACCAGTGTCGCAACACTCCGTTACTGAAGCTAGTATTATTGCAGTTAGTTACCCATACTGTAAGCGTTGGTAGAGTAGCATTGGTAGCCGTGGTGGCGGTGGTAGTAGTAGTACTAATAGTAGGATTATTAGTAGTATTCGCCGTATCAGTGGTGGTAGACGGGGGAAAAGTTTTCTTCAGTGTTGCGACACTGTATTCCCGCCAGTGGTAGTAGTATTAGTAGTAACAGCGGTAGTAGTAGCAGTAGTAGTGGTGATGGTAGTAGTAGTAGTAGTAGTCCGCCCGTAAGACAGGCTGGTGGGGAATAGACAATTCTAAGTGTTGCGACACTGTATTCCCGCCGAAATTTCCACCTGACGGATATGTTAGATGGCAAGGTTGACTGAGCGTTGTGTCTCTGGAAAATGTGTAGACCATGTTTACCTTACTGATTACTTTAGTGGGGTGATTTGGTATTCCTATTTCTTTATTTATGGCGGACACTACAGCACTTAAAGGTCAGGAACAAGCAGCTACGACAAAAGACGTTAGGGACAAGAGCTAGAATTGGTGTTAGAAGACTGCAACGATAACTTTAACTTAGTCACGCATCGTTTCGTCGCCTCAGGTGTCGCAAACGCTTAAATATCCATGATTACCTCCGCAGGATAAGTGACAGAAAATGTTATTCCTGCTTCACAAGTTCCCCCCGGTAAGGCGCCCCATAACGAGCGTTGAGGTTTATGCGCCTAAACAAGTAGACGGCACTTACACGAAAACCTCATTACTGTGTCTTTTAACCGCCTTTGTTTCCAATGACTCCTGATTGGTGGTCAACCGTCGTTACCGATGGCGTCTACCGTGTGCCCACAGCAAGGTGGGCGCAGGGACGCTGACTTGCGCTGCATCCACCCCTTATTCCACCTGAGCCAGGTGTTACGACAGAGTCAGGAGGACTGGGAGCGAGGTCGGCGCAGTGGCTGACAGTCAAACAGCCCATCTACGCGTGCCACACACACGCCCGGTCAGCACATGGTGGTCAGAGCAACAGCAGACAGGCAGCCTGTGGTCCAAACAGAGGCCACATTAAGAGGGGACCACTTACAATGTTTCCAAAAAATCCTTATAACTAGTGGGTGAACAGTTACTTGTAGGGGAGGGAGACGATATGTTAATTCAATTGTTTAAACATAGGGCCATTAACTTACTGCGGTGGTTACATTCTTGGCTTATCAGTATATAAAAGACATTTCGTTTACACACACAGGGACCTCAGTCGATCCCATGAGTCTCTACGTGTACAGTAGGTGGGCTAACTCATGAAATGTCAACCGAAATTCAGAAATGTGTTTTCTTTTTAAAAAAAGATTAATTAAGTAGGGTTGTAAAATTAATCAACATGCAGCATAATTCTATAATAATTCAATTACCTCAGAGTGCCGGCTTTCGAATGAATTTTCTTCCGGTTGCATGCAGGAACTACACTCTGTGAAAATGACTACTTAAGCAGCATGAATTTTTCTCATTAATTTTCGATGCCCTTAAAGATTCAATTATATTTCATGGAAAACGTGGATAAAAATATTTATTCTTCTACTCATTCGGTAGGAAATTACGTCTTCTTTCAATTTTATACTCGAAGGAAGGGTATTATCTGGTTTTAAAAAAGTTTCTAATTGTGAGATCTTTTAATACCGTGAAATGGTCGTTCATAAAACGTCATGTCTCTGCATTCACTAGTGTTGCTTTCAAAGTTAACAATATGGCTCAAATCCACTGCTAAATTTTACGAACCCCATATGATGTCCTCTGAATACCGTAGAGAAATTTACGGTTTTCCGTACGCGGAAAATATACGGCTTGTAGTTTGGAAACCCTGAATACAAGTGTAACGGCAGGTCGAGTTCAAATTTATTCTTGAATTATAAAAGTTTTTTAAAACCGAATCAAACCCTTTTTTCGAGTATACAATTGAAAGAAGACGGAATTTTCTACCGAATGAGAAAAGAATGAATATTTTATGCATGTTCTCCATGAAATATAGTTGACTTTCGGAGGGCATCGGAAATCAATAAGAAAAATTCATGCAACTTATGCAGTCATTTTTTACAGAGTGTAGTTCCTGCATGCAGCCGAAAAGAAGTTTGTTTGAAAGCCGGCATCCTGCGATAACTGAATTAATAAAGAATTGTGCTGCATGATGATTAGTTTTACAACCCTACTTAATTAATCTTTTCGAAACGAAAACACATTTCGGAATTTCGGTTGATATTTCATGAGTTAGCCCACCTACTGTACTCTTGGCAGCAGGAGGGATGAGAAGCTAAAACTCACACTACTGTTTTGCACACGTATGCGTATGAGCCTTCGCAAGTACGACAGGAATTCACCTACCTTTTCTGGAGGTATTGGTGGTGGCCACAACGCAGTGAGAACCGTAACGCCATCACCGCTGGCAGGCTTGCCCACATCCGAGAAGTGGGACTCGACAAGGGCATGAAACTGCCTCGACCTCTCCAGAGTGTCGGCTGCCTCGAAATCTACTCTGTCCACAGACTGCGCAGAGATTACAGAGATGGCTGCCTGAAGGTCGTTGATACTGGCAAGACTCGCCCTCTCCACCGCGTTCAGGCGTCCGTGGAGGTAGGCCAACAGGCAGTCCAGTTTGGCTGCCCCCTCTCCTTCCCTGACTGGGGCGTGGATCCAGTTCCACCAGATGCGTTCAGAGGGAGTGGTGTTGACCCCGGTGCGGCGGGGACCCTCCTTCGAGGCGTCCCATTCGAGGCGTTGCAGCTCATTGCGCACCACATCCGGGCGCCAGCCCCAGGCGTTGCACAGTACGACAAGGTCAATCTGAACCTCGTGAAGGCTCGGCAGCTTGTCCGAGAAACTGGTCTCCTTTGAGGCGAGCAGGCCGAGCCAGGCGGATACAGCCAGACACTGGTTAGATATACGGGCCAGTTCGTTGAATCCGCCGTAGCACCTTACAGTGACGGACTGCATAAAAGGGCAAAAAGAGTCACTCGGTCTTCGGAACATAGTTAACAATGTTTATAGTCCCATAAACAAATGAAGGCGCTCGAGTGGGATATTAAAGACACAAAAAACAGGAGTGAATTTGTAGTAACTGTCACAAACGACAACGTCTGTCACTGCCCAGAGAAGAACGTAGTGGTGACAGGTGCGTTCGTGCGGCGTATTGGAGACGTCTTGATTCACCGGATGAGCTGACAGTCAAAGGCGAGGGAAGTTGTCATTCCGTCGTTGCATGGCCCAAGTACAGTAGGTGGGCTAACTCATGAAATGTCAACCGAAATGCGTTTTCGTTTCGAAAACATTACTTAAGTGGGGTTGTAAAATTAATCGTCGTGCAGCATAATTCTATAACAATTCAGTTATCTCAGGATGCCGGATTTCAAAAGAATTTCTTTTCGGCTACACTCCGTAAAAGATGACTACTTAAGTGGCATGCATTTTTCTCATTGATTTTCGACGCTCTTAAAAATTCAGTCATATTTCATGGAAAACATGCACAAAAATATTCAATCTTTTACTCATTCGGTAGAAAATGACGTCTTCTTCCAATTTTATACTCGAAGGAAGGGTAATATTCGGTTTTCAAAAACCTTTTTAATTCCCGAATAATCTTGAACCTGCTTGGCTTAAGGTTTCGAAACTACAAACCGTATATCATCCGCGTATGAAAAACCGTAAATTTCTCTGCGTTATAAAGAGGAGACATTATGGGGTTCATAAACGTTGGCAAGGGATTTGAGCCATATTGCTGACTTTACAAGCCACATTGGTGAATGCTGTGACATGATGTTCTATGAACGGCCATTTCAAGGTATTAAATATCTCACAATTAGGGACTTTTTTAAAAAAAATCAAATTTTACCCTTCTTTCGAGCATAAAATTGAAAGAAGACGTAATTTTCTACCGAATGAGCGAAAATGAACATTTTTATGCATTTTTTCGATGAAATATAATTGAATGTTTAAGGGCGCCGAAAACCAATGGGGAAAACGCATGCTACTTAAGTAGTCATTTTTTACGGAGTGCAGCCGAAAAGAAATTCCTTCGAAAGCTGGCATCCTGAGGTAACTGAATTATTATAAAAATTATGTTGCACGACGATCAGTTTTACAATCCCACTTAATTAATCTTTTCGAAACGAAAACGCAATTCGGAATTTCGGTTGACATTTCTTGACTTAGCCTACCTACTGTAACAGTCTGTGCAAAGTGTATCAAAGCCTACCCTGGGATAAGCGGGGAGAATCGTGAGACTGCGCTCGCAGTCACTTTGAAGATGAAGGTAGGAGAGAATAGTGGCCAGACTCTCCGGTTTGATGTCCAACTCGTCAGCGATGTATTGGGGGTCCAGGGCTACCACATGGCCGGCGCAGGAGGCCTCGCCGTTACGTTGGCGACGTCGCATGCAGGCCGATCCACAGGGGGCAAAAATTATGCGCAACAGGCGTTTCAACATCACTGGGTCGATGTGATTGGCAAAGGTGTGTCGACGGATTTCGTTGGCTTCCCTGGGATCGTCAGTCATGCCGGACGGCAGGAAAGCATGACAGAAGGACTGTTGACCATTTCGTCCCACACGTCCAATTTCCTAACCAGCAGATAAAAATGAGGCGTATTAATTTTGAAAAGTGTCTGTGAGAAGGGGTTGATGGAGCCTCAGCATCCTCTTTTTTGGCATCCTGTAGCGAAGGCGGAAATCGGTGCAAGATTTGGTGAGGTTGGGTTGGGCGACAAACGGCAAAAAAGGACAAAGCGGTTTGCCGACAGCAGACCAGAACGAAACTCGACGACTGAAGTTAACGTTTATCACTAGGACTACAGGTCGGTAGGGAAGCCATGATAAGAGTGGAAAAATCTCGAGCCCGATAAGGGATCTGCTAAGAGAGTGAATTCATGCATGGTCCTCTTTTATATATATACATATACATTCACTCAGAATTGGGGCGCACACCGATCTATTGGCTTCCAGTTTGCTTCGGGAAGCCAATGGATCGGTGTATGCCCATTCCTGAGTGGATAAATACCCTATCTGCAGCGAGAGGGAATGGCAGGTGGCGAGGCACTGATGAACTTCGGTTCGATGAAGTGCTTATAACCCATCTGGTAGATCCCAGTGGTGGATCAGCTGCGCCAGGTGTGTGAGCGCGTGTTTATGTTCTCGGTCCCAGCTGGTGGTCAGGGTTATGATTGGCTGAATGAAGACAAAATAAGTCCGAAACAGTGCTGTATCAACTTACTTCCCAGACTGTTGTCTCCCCTCTGCTATATATGTGCAGATGGCCCCCAAACGGGCCACGCGTTAGATGCGCTGGACCAACACGGGGGCCACATCGGATTCTGGCAGGCGTTATCTGTGCGCAATAACAATTGCCAACATTTGCGGTGTGCGCTGGCAGACCCTGTTGTCAGCAGTCGTCGCACAACTGGGACCACTGCCACCACCCCATTGTTTTGTGGCCAAAATCTGGTCATTGTTGTGTGGACCGGGGGGTGCGGAGTGGAGCGCCAAGGTGAGGATCCGTCCAAGCCATCCACTTGCGGCCTCCCTCGTCTCCGGTCTTCTTGACTCTGTCTTGACACCGGACTCAGGCGGGGACGGAAGAGAGAGTGTGGTAGATGCGGCGCAAGTCTGCTAGCAATATAAACCCCTGCGCAAGTCACCGTCCCTGCTCCCACCATCTGCTATGGGGCATACGGTGGACATCGTCGGATGCGACGGTCGAACTATATATGTGCAGAGTAACATTGCCGAGAGAGACAAAGGGGACTGGAATGGCCATTTCTGGCTTACTAACCGTCGGCGGACAACCATGTCAAATCCCGAGGTGCTCAATGCCTGAGACTCGATCCCGCGACTTGACAGTTAGAAGTTCAACGTCCTAATCACAGAGTCACGGGCTCGTGGTCCTGCCGGTTGCGGTCGCATATGTGCAATGGTAGAGGGACGCAACAGTGTTGTTGTTGAAAATCCTGGTCAATTGTTTGTTGTGGACCACAGGGTGTAGTAGTACGACTAGGTGTGGGCTTTTGTCATGCCAGCCACCTGCGCCCTCTCCCGCCTCCGGTCTTTTTGACTTGGTTATGACACCGGATCCAGGTGGGAAGGGAGGAGAGAGTGCGGTAGATGCTGCGCAAGTCTACCGTCACTATAAATCAATTCACGCGCAAGTTACAGTTCCTACTCCTGCCCTGCTGTGGAGCACACGGTGGACATCGTCAAAGCCGACGGTTGAACAGTCATGTATTATATGTGGTATGTCCTCTGACACGGCGTACCTATATGAGGAGGCATGGCGATCATGGGAGCTACGATATTATTTTACTGACGTTTCGAAAGTAAACAAGCTTCCATCGTCGGAGGAAGGGTACGTACGGCGCCTTACGGTCCTGGCTTGCTTGTGATGGCATGCCACTAAGTTGATGTTGGAGTTAATCGCAAGCAGCGCGAAGAAATCGACAACTTCAACTATCTTGGGGGCGGCTTCTGCCGAATAGACACAGTAAAGACAGCCTCTCTCGAGTTGAGACCAGCAAGGGTAATGAGACGCTGGCAGAGGTCAGCGGTTGGTTAGGGCCAATAAAAATCGTTACAGAGGGATGCTGTATATCTTAAAAGCTCATGGATGCCGGGGGGAGGGATGTACGTGTACGCAGTGCAAGAGTACTTACCTGAATGTAATTCTCAAAGGACTTGGGCAGTGAGTAGTGTATGACTGCCTGCAGGTTCTTTTTATTCAATCCCATTCCAAAGGCTGTCGTGGCGACCAGAACGCGGACTCGACCGGTCATGAACTTCTTCTGTGCACGCAACCGTTCTGCGGAGGAGAGACCGGCGTGGTAGACGGCCGTGGTCCAGCCAACCAAGCGTCTACCAATCTGTTCAACGAATGTGCGAAAGTAAACGCGCGGGTGATGCATTACGATGACAAGATAGTCGGTCATTAGCTCGATGAAGTAAAGCCCTGCTTCCGGTGTTCCAGAAAACCTTATCATTCTGTACCAACTTCTTGTCCAGAAAGAGGTAGAGCAACTAATGAACATATGGAGGGTATCGTACACAAGGAATTCTTGCATTTTTAAAGATCACTGTTTAAATGACGACGGTAGGGCGAAGGACCCCACTTAACTGTTGGTAGACTGTGGATCGTGTCATACGCGAATGGTGGTAATGAGGGAGTTTTACGGGTGCCGCAGTACGCCGGACAGTAAGCTGACGAAATGAAAGAAAACGCATACGCAACGAAAATGAGCCCGTCAATTAAAATACAAACAAAAAGCAAGTTTACGAAAATAACCGAATGTTAGTAATGGTATCATGGGATGTAATTGTTGTTGGCAGTTAGTCTTGGATGGCCTGCAAATGGATGCCAAAATAAAGCCCTATATGGCACGATCCACAGTCTACCGACAGTTAAGTGGGGTCCTTCACCCTACCGCTGCCGTTTAAATTACCGCGGTGTTGAAAAAAATCGAATGTCTTCACCGTGTTTAATAATTTTAGGGGGCTAATAATTACTAGTGTTCAGTCATTTCAGGCTATTTAAATGGACCGGCTCAAACATGGACAATTTATTGTTCGATATCAAAGAAATGCGCGACTGCAGGTGATGTAACTCAGATATGTCATCCTTTACTATTTATTTGATTTGATTCGAGGGATCTGGTTGTTGTTGTTCACGTCAGAGCTGATGGTTTGTTGTATTGCAAGTGAGGTCATCTAGAAACAACATAACAATCCATGAGATGAGTTAGAAGCAAGCAAAACTTTGTAAAACGACTCCTTATAGTCCAACAGAGGAGTCTGGAACTCCGGAATCACAATAGAAGATGAACCGGTAAGGTGTACGACACCTGAATGGGGACCCCGTACTACAGGCGACCTTGCGTTAATGTCCAGTGGGGGGGGGGCAGGACTTTGTTTTAAGAGAGTTAGGGTTAGCTCTGGGGCTGAAGTTGGGACACGATAATAGGTGCGTAAGGCCCCCCGTAGTACGCGGGTTCGTATTTCCCGTTTGCAAATCCAACAAAACGAAGCGTGCTGTGGAAGAGAGACTTGTGAGAGGCACGTAATACTTCGCTAGGCGGTTGCTCATTGGCCAGCCTTGCCCATTCGTCTCCGCAGTCAGGACTGCGGCAGAAAGGCTGCCTTGGCCAAAAAACTGACCTTATCCTTTCTCTCCTGGAGGCTAGTTCGTATGTAAACGGCCAGACGTTCTGTGAGGTCGCGCGTGGCAGCGTAGATGAGGATGGAAATCTGTTGGCTGAAAGGGGGGCGAGTGAGCAGCTGGATTAGGGCTTCTTCGCGGTTCGTATCCATAGAGGCCGTGATCAGGAGGTTGGGCGGGAGGGGGTTGCGAACAGGTTGGAGGAAACCATCAGCCGTGAGGAGATCTGTCAGGGCACCAATGTCCTGGCCGGTTTCAACCAAATCACCCACAGTTAGGAAGGAGTCCAGTGGGTGTGGATCGGAAATACCCAGGTTGTGACAGATGTTTACAATGGTTGAAGGGGTGCAAGTGGCGGAGAGACCTGGTGAGGGAAAAGACAATAAACTCGAGGGTATCCTTTTAGGACAATTGAGGTGTGAAAAACCGCAATACAAACTGATCAGATCAAATTAAGAGGAAGCTTCATGTTATTTAAAAGTCCTCTACTCCACCGATCACCCCGGGAAAAGGCATAAGCGGAGAGTCAAAAGAAAATACGTTAGCATATTTAATTGATGAAGATTCCCACCATCTCGGAAGATGAGGCCTGATTGTTAGCTCGGTTGCGACCTACTTGGAGTCTATGCGGTCGATTGTACGGTCTTCACCGAATATTATCTGCGAAATAAGCAATGGCAGAGCTCGTAGCTGTAGCACCCCAAGGCGTGACCGCGCGCCGACCTGGCAAGGCGGCCACTAGATCACAGTAAAGACGGCATTGTGGCGTCGTGAATGTGGCTGGTCATCGAATAAGGCTTCATCCGTCGACCAGAGCAACCCTAGAACTTTAATCTAGTGTGCTCGATGGGTGGACGGAGACATCCACCAACCTCAACCAAGCCACACAGCTGCTGCTGCTGCTGCTTCACTGAGTTTTGAGCAACCGGAAGACTACAGTCCGCGAACTCTGGTTGGACTTGGGGAAGGTCAGTGTGGTGGATTCCATACTTTGCAGTAGGTTGGGCGGACAACGACCCAAATGCCAGTAAACTCACGGCTCCCGATCGGGGCGGCGCGTAGCTCGGGCGGTTAATGCGCTGACCGCACATAAGCCCTGCACTTGCTATCGTTGGTTTGAGTGGCATTGAGGCCGTCGAGTTTTACACAATCTGAGCACACCAATTTTTGATATAACTGGACTACCGCCATGCGCATATGAGTTGCTGCCTGCGGTGGCAGTAAGGACTTGCACGATGACGGAAATATTCATTTTCCCCGTCTTTTGCTTTCAAAAAGGCGCTCTTGTACTGGTGATTCGCGTCCTCGGCGATGATACAATCACATAACCAGAGGCTCTCGTAGAATTCGTCCGCCAAACAGTGGCTCCATGGTGTTATTTCTGTGATGAAGACCCATGGCTACGGTCATCAATGCTTCCGCGCTGGAGATAGACACCGGTATGGTTACGGAGCCTTGCAAGCTCACGAGTTAGCGGAGCACAGTGTCGAAGTTATGCTCCCAAAGAGTTCCACAGGAAAGGAGTTTCGACAACTTATGAGGAGACTTGGAGCGCAGACTGACTGAGATATCTTCGTGTGTTGATGGTTGGTGTTCGTAACTACTGGTTTCATCGACTTGATTTGTAGAAACAGGCGTAGTATGCATTGACAGGTGTCTACGCAATCTGGCCTAACTGAATCACCGATCAACCAGCGAGCGGTGAAGCAGGCACGTAAGCAAACCTGCGTCATGTGAACAAAGGAGCCTAAAGATCTAGGGTCAGGCAGGAGCAGAAGTCGAATCAACCCCGCTTACGACGCTTTCTTTTTGCTATTCAGAGCATTAGGCGCGTGAATGCCTCAGTTTTAATGGGAATAATTTCAGTTAAACTTTTCCTGCAAGAAAGCAGCATATTCATATGGATTACTAAAAGTGAAATTAGTCGACAATAATGATGCATTCTTTACCCTACGCTCAGCGCCACCACCATAACTAGCAGTGTAATCATAGTAACAGCCTCTGACATCATTCTTAACAGAGTTAATCATGAAACAAAAATTAAAGCTCCGCTAACAGATGAAGATGTCATGACAACGGGAAGTCAGCTGCGAGGAAATCCAGTCGGGCATACTTCTTCGCCCTAAATAGTCAGACTGCCTTTTCTATTAATTCGTGACATCGGTCAAGAACCTCTATATGCACTTCCACTCGATGGGGTTGCAGAATCCCCTCTGACTCCGTCAGGGCCCCTGGCGACACCAAAGGTACGCGTACTGGTCATTGACAGGGAGCAAACGGTCACCACCACCACCACCACCACCACCACCACCAGCAGCAGCAGCAGCAGCAGCAGCAGCGACAATGTGGACCGCTTGGACAAGGGGGAGGGCGAAGGAATAGGCGGATGGGGTGAGAACAGTAAAATAACTGATGCAACCGGAGGCAGAACGAATTGGTGAGGCTGCCGACGTAGAAGGAGGCTCAGAAAGCACAGTAGAAGTGGCTGCGCTCAACCAGCAACGATTTCAAGTCTCGATTTAACAAAAAGGTTTCCTGACCTGCCCCGACGATCTTAAGCATTTGTTGACAGCGGCCGGAGAAGCTAAGATGAATACCACTCAATTCTTTCCTACGAAGGCGGGGCGGTAAGTAACTGAATGGACATGATACGCCGGTGCAAGCCTTGCTTCAAGCAGGTCGCATGATCGTCTCTAGCGCAATCAATGATTGGGAGAGCCATGAATAAATGCGGACTTCCCTTGAAACTTGTGAATAAAACTGGTCAGCAAACTGTACCTCCTAAAAACTACTTCACATCGGAAAAGCAGTATCAGCTTATTCCAAGGAGGTAAAGCAGTAATTCAGCCCTCTCGAAGTCGAAACGGCCCAGGCAAATGATACTGTAATCTTTCGGAAACTTACAGTGGACAGTAGAAAACATTGGTAGGGGGGGCTATCCGATAGTTTATACGGAACTCACTCATTCCGTTGTGCTTTATGGGCTCTCTCTCTCGAGCCCAACCAGCAGGCGCACAGCGGCGCATGATATAGGCAGAATGGCATTACCGACAAAGACCAGAGAGGCTGGAATGACCATTCCTGGCTGACGACGGCTAATAAGCCAGAAATGGCCATTCCAGTCTCCCTTGTCTTTGTCGGTAATGCCATCCTGCCTATATCATGCGCCGCTGTGCGGCTACTGGTTGGGCTCGAGAGAGAGCCCATAAGGCACAACGGAACGAGTGAGTTCCGTAAGAACGATCGGTGAGCGCCCCCTATCATTATTTCCCCTTACAAACTAAGCAACTGGAATGAATGATAAAAAAGGTAAGACGCTTGGGCTAAGTGGTGTCTTACCCAAAAACCGATCCACGCCTAAACGCGTCCTCAAGAGGCTGCAAACACGCAGATAGGAGGGTCTGAAGTGGTGAGACCAGTCGGCCAAACAGTGGGCCTCGTCAATGCATACAAAGCTGATTGGCGGAAGGCGGTCGGGTTGCAGCATCCACTCTGACTCCACCAGCGCCTCTGGTGACATCAAAATGTACGCGTACTGGCCACTGACGGGGGAGGGGAGAAACGGGAGACAAGGTTTCAGCATTATAATTCCAAAATGAGGCTGAAGTCGCCTACAAATACTAACTACGAATAAAGCAGGCTTTCTTGGCAGACGAAAAAGCGGTCGCAGACGGCGCAGCGGCAACACCTTCAGGCGTGGGTGGCCACTAATCGGAAAAATCGATTATCTACGTAAAAAATGCAATAGGTCACAAAGGTATTACAATATGTTGTGTTGCCCGCCATCAAATAACGCTTCAATCGCTGCCCGGCGCAATCCTAAGACTTTTAACTGTTTTACCGGATGTACGAGTGCAGGAGTTCACTGTCGAACCACTGCCACACCAAGTCGCCATACTGTAAACACTGTCCAGTGAACTGTGGCCAAATTTGGTTTCAGGATCACTGGAAGAATATGACTCACGCACTCCGGCTGGACTTGCCGGGGCCAAGGGCATCGAGGGGAGCTGTTTCCGAACCAACAACAACAACGGCGACCAATTAGAAAATGAGCCAGCTGGAGGAGGGCAATTTGAACCATCACCCAGTAAACAGTTCACGCTGCCGCTTGTTCAGTCTTGCGTTACGTTTCGAAATAACAGACTGTTGGATCATCCAGCCCTGTCCCTGGCAGGGCTGCACTTGGTCTCAGCAAGGAATCTCGCAGCCCTGGCCTTGTTCATGTAATGCGACCCTGACCAAAGGGCTTTTAGACCGTGAAAGAAGATGGAAAAATGTGGAGAATCAGTGGACTGTCCACACTGTCCGTCTGTCCGACTCGGACAGACGAAGGTGTGTTACAGCTGTATGAGAACAAGATAGTCAAAAAGGATGCAGCCACCTTAGCGTTAAGACAAACACAGAAGCTCTTAACTTGGCTACTTATATTGTACTATATGCAAAATAGTTCTACTTCAGCGGCAATATATCGGCGTTTTGCGAAAAAAGGTGCCGGTTTCCAACGAAAAATATGACAAACTTCTACAACAACCCGGGAAAACGCAGTGAATTATAGGTTTTAATATTGGGAAAATTTTAAATGAAAGAGTTTGCCGACGAAAATAATTTGGGTTGAAGTTGTTAGCTCGGCTTTATTTGTTGGTCTAGAGTCGGACTATGACTTTTTGAGGGAACGTTCTGGCTCTTTTGGTTTCTTCGGAAAACCACTGTTTCTTATTTAGTTGTCGACATACGACTGGCTGCTTGTGAAGAGGACGCAGAATAAGGGAAGGCAATAGGAAGAGGTAGCTCAGGTCGAATTCTATAAATCAAACAACGTGCCTTTTAAGCAACAAGGCTGCGACTGTTTCGACGATTTAAGCCTTTCACACTTAGAATCCGACAATAGTACAACATCCCACGACCAACCAGGCAAGAACGTGAACCAAGGAGCATGGCTGTGTTGGACAACAAGTAGATAAAAAGTGAAGTGTCTCCGATAAACATAAGTATGCGTTAGCGTGAAGGAATAATGGAGGGATACAACAGGAACGATGTTGAACCAAGGGGCATGGAAGACTCAATAAGTCTGTTGTTTTATCACATGAATTACTTGTGCAGCCTTACTGGAACCTAGTCAAAATGTGACCATAGGGCAACGTTCACTGGCCTGAGCCGGCTGAAAGATGGAACACGGTCGACCTGTTTTGCCTTGGAGCTCCGCCACATAACAATGAGCAGTCACTAATCGAGAGATACTATCGACAAATAGAATGCAAAGTGGAAAAGTTAACTTGGGCATATTTGGAGTAGTTAGCTGCACTGAAACGGCTACTACAGTCCCCTTTATGACGATCGATGAAATTTTCCATCCCACACGATTTCAAAGGAGGATCTAGACTAAGAATACATGCTAGTAAATGGGGGAGGCCTAGAAAGACATTCTACTGAGTCAATAAATATTGTTTTACTAGACTTACTTGCGCGCATTGGAGAGTATTTCCTCCTTCTGTTGTCGCGTCTGACTTGAGCTCAGGTAAGCACCGCATATAGGTCCTGTTAGGCTAACAACCTGATCCTGCATCAGTGATATCAGCGGCGACACGACAAGCGCGGTTGCAGGTGAGTGAAATTTCTGCAGCCCTAGGTTGGAGAAGGGGACATGAGTGACAACCTACCTGGAAGAGCATAGCCGGGATCTGGTAGCAAAGCGATTTGCCGCCAGCTGTTGGAAGAACGAGAAGGGTCGATTTGCCGGCCAAAACGCGCCAAATAGCCTGTTCCTGTCCAGGTCGGAAGGCTTGGATGCCAAGACGGGTGAGGCAGTCCTTGACACACTCTCCAATATCGCGCCATTCGCAGATATTATCTGGTCTGACAAGGGGAGGGATTCGAACGGGATTCATTGGCAATTGGGCCAGTTCCTCTAAGCTTGGCCCACTGAACCGGCTGTCCAGAGAGGCCAGATCAGCAACCAGCCATTCAGAAGGGGTAAAATCTGGCTCCATTAGCTCATGGTCTGCCGGAGTTCTAGCGGAGTTCTTCTGGCCTATAGTCTGCGGACACTGAGCTGCCCAGTGTCCTTCACGATTGCATTTAAAGCAGACACCTGGTTTGGTTGAAGTCCTCTTGAAGGCCTTGTAGCCGCCCTTTTTTCCAAACTTTCTGATGAACTTATCTCGTTTAAGTTGAGCACGGAGACGGAACTGGCGACGTGTGCCGGCTCTACTGAAACACTTTTTCTTGATATTAAGCTTGATGTAGTTGCCAGATGGAATTGCACATCGTCTGGCCACCTGAGGAACAACCGCGGAAGAACGGGTCCATTTTGTGCTTTGGGCTTCAACATTTGCACATGGTGCGCTGACTGCATTTAGGACATCGGGACACATGTCGGTTGACTGTCGATATGCAACCTTAATGAGCTTCGTTCGACTTCCTTCTTCTTCTGCCCCAGAGATGGTTGGGTGCAGATCGCCCGGATGCGAAAAAACATCAGTAGTCGTGGATGGCAATGAATCATAAGTAGCTGCTTGCCCATCCTTTGAAAGAGGAAATTCAGGAAGGTTTGAAATCATCGAGCATGATGTAGAATGTCCTTGCTGGTGAATCGAATTTTTCATCGATGACTGAACAGTTTCACAGAGCGGTGAGTTTAACATACTTTTTGAAGGCGATAAATGCCTGAGTTGAGAAGCATTGGTCGTCATAGGTGGTGATAAACTGGAAGCAAAAATCCGTTCACTTTTTGGAGGAGAGAGTTCAAGAAGGCTTGGAGTCACAGACGAGGATATGAAAGATCCTCGCCGATGAACGGATTTCTTAGTCAAGGACGTGACGATTTTATGGAGTGGTGAGCCTGACAAACTTTTGGGGGGCGACAGATCAAAATTGTTCGAAGATTCACAGGATGATTTTGACGTGATATCGGATTGGCGGACTGTGAAAGACGGCAGCTGGCCCGACTCGGAGGTTACAGTGTGACAGGTTTTATCGAATGTAGAGTTTGGCAACCCGTTTAACAAATCAGATGCATTTGTGTCAAGTTTGGGAGTTTTGGGACGCTGTTCAGTGGGAAAACAATTTGCTCTGGGTTTTTGAATGGTTGATTCTGTGTTCCTGTTGGCGTCTGAAGAAAGACACTTAGAAAGGCTTCGCCGCAAAGTAATTTTAGCGGATGGATGAATAGTTAGACTCTCCGTGGTCGCCGACATACGAAGAATATTGGCCTTTAATGTGGCGCCGAGAGACGAAAGACTTCTGTTGGCTGGCTTTTTATTGCTTTTGTCCGCCAACACGGGGCGCTCATCCCACGGATTGATGTCCTCAGACATCTGCAATGCTCTGAAATTAATTTTATAAACGGCAACAGGTTACGAACTAAGAACGAAAACTTGGAATGCCGTGTCGAACATGATGGGCGAGGGGGAAGTGCCTTCTATTTTTGTCGAGTGTTATAAGGATAAACGCTGGTGGCGCTGTGCCCAAGCGAGTTGGACAACAGTCGAAAAACAGGTCTTAATCAGAAAGGGTGAAGAAGCTCAAGAGTGAACATAGGATTATAGACCATTGGAGCATCACTCCAGAAAACACGCAATATATTTAACTATCTTCCTTAATATTGAGAGAAGTTCTAATGTAAAATATGAAAATTAGTGGGGCTGCAGATAGAGAAGTCGCTTGGGCGAAGAAGACGCAAAACTCCTTCGTAATGATAATAATCTGCATAGGACCAATTGAAGAGACAGTAAGATGGCCGCATTAAATGGTGTATATGATGGGGGAGGGCGAATAGTATGCTACACTAGCTGCCTAGACAGCCTACCCTCTCTCATGCAAAAATATTCATTCGAACAAGCTTTAAAGAATCTGCACTTCCGGCCACAAGACCGTACAGCCTTCTAAAAATTGTTATAAATATACAGTCAGATAGGGTAGAGGGGCGCTCACGGAGCAGGTACCGGAACGTGCTTATCGCGTTGTGCCTCGAGGTTCAATCTGAGGTCTTGCAGGCAGTTGCATGATTACTATTAGTATAGGTAGATAATGTGGCACCAACAAAAGAAAGGAAACCGGGATGGCCACTTCTAGCAAATTAACTCTCATTAACCAGCCTTATCCAACCTTAAGCGTGGGGGTGTCAGTTGAATATTAACAGACCGGTGCATGTCAGGTTGGCAGCAGAAATATTAACCTAAAGTTAACGCAGCCCACAAAACAAAGGATTTGGTAGAGGGGATCACAAACTAAAGAGAGGTAATGTCACTAATTATTCGCATACATTAAGTGGAGACAGTATAATATTTACACGGTTTGATAGACGGCCTCAACCCGCTGGTCATAGCACTTGTATTCTTTAACAGAATGCTCTGTCCTTGACGATTTCTTCATTAAACAGACCCATAAACGTTATGGTCGTGCGCGGAAACCAAGATAACACGATATGCAGGTCTTAAATGCGTCACAACTCAGAAGCTTAGCAAACTGTAGGGGTCAAACACCAGAACAGATAAAAGTATGATTGAGCAGCGAGCTGACGAGTTGCGGCTAACGAAACATCCATGAGCAAATGCTTGCTACAAAGAAAACCTACGGCTGACGGATAAGTAGGTACGAAACAGCAAACATCGCGCTGCCACGGTGGAAAAGGATGCAATCTGGCACACCAACTGTCTTACAGAATGCCACAAGGTTATATGACACCACTGAGACATGACGACCGTTTCCCGTCTTGCGAGAGTCGGATTCCCATTGGGACGTTGGCTGTTCGACCTGGCATACGATAACGATACTGTCAGGCTGACCACGGGTGCAGGCAATAGCTAAACCTATCGACTTATCTAACAACGATGCAAAAACCAAAATGTTCTTCATTAGTATCCTTAAAAGGGAAAAGACGACCCTCGTTACTACTGGAAATCGACAACCAAGTTGTTGTCAAACGGATAATGCAAAGAAGACATTACTGCTCGAAGATTTGCTGTTGGGAGGAATTTTGCAAACTCTTGAAGTTGTCGTGCAAACGTCCTGATATCTCAACTGACAGAAACATCTGCGTGTAGTGGATGTCCGTGAGGGTGGTGGGCGAAAACTACAGAATACTGACGGGGGGCGACCGGGATGGAACTTTCGAGTGTCTCCGTCTTTAATGAGATGGGAACTCACTGGAATAGCACCGTGAGAACATCTCGCATAATCATAGAAAGACGACTGAGGTGATCTGGGTAAGTTCTGTAAAATCCGAAGCAGTGTAAGCACGCTAAATGGACTCGCCTTCCCACGCTGTTTGCACACCGTTCAATCTAATTCAGGATAATCTGTGAAACTAAATCCTCTGAAGGATTCGTACCGACAAAATGCCTATTTTTCTGCATAGACTTAAATTGCCTAAATGGCTCACCCGCTGGGGGTTGTGGATCGTCGCAGTTGGATGGACCGCCTGTTACGAGCCGCTCAGCATGCAGCTCCCTAATCTACCTGCTACTTGCTGTAATGGCTGCGACGGTTCCCCGAGTATACGCTTTAATATTCTCCGACTTGGCGTACAATGTGGAATACATCTCAACAAACATTTTAGACAAGCATTTACACTACGGCACCCACTGCCAGTGCGACTGAGGGCGAACAAGTCAGTACGTTGCTGCAAACAGCGGTGGCAAATGTTTCCAGTACAGTTGAGGGAGAAGCCCTCGGACTACTATACCAGTGTAAAGCAGGAACTGGCGCAATCCCGCTGCTTTTCATGTTTCTACATCACTAAGAGATCTGGTATGCTGCGAAAATCGCCGCGGGAGATACGCATTTAGATCTCAGTAATCCTATTTACTGCACAATTTGGAAGTCCAAAGGCGCCCTCACTTGGGCTTCTAGGCCACAAGTTCAAAAGCCGTCTCACTACACCTAAGTAAACTAAATGCTGAGGATCAAGTGGGAAAATAAATCTTCATCCCCTGGCTCGCTCAGACAAGCAGTCGTAAACTACCCCATCTACGTATTCGCCTCTTATGCGTCGTTCGCAGCCACAACAGGCATTCACGTTTTTAATTTGTTAAATAAAAGTTCTGTCTGGTGCATTACAACTGCAGTTCTAATGCACCAGACATGTCATGACAGCGGCTAGGCGGAACTGCAGTTCCGCTACATGTAGCGGGCCATAAGGCGCGATTAACCGGGTTCGGAGAGGTCTGGGTATCCAAGGACGTATACGAAGTGTTCAGTGTAATAGGAAAAACCTAACTGAATATGCCTGGATAATTCAAGCAGCATTAGTCCAACAAGCAGGTGTGCACACATGCCGGCATTACGATATCAAAATGGGACGGAAGTGCCTGAATTTGGCCGATGTTATGTAGGCATTCTGTTAATTAAGTCAGTCACTGGCGTTGTCAATTAGTATATACTCTGAGTTTTTCACGCCTGAAAGTCAAAGGCACACGACTGGAACGGACCGCCACCGCAAAGTGCTTTACTTTTCTCGTTGTCTGCCCTAATTTCAGTCCAGTAAAAGACCCGTAATATAAATCGAAAAGTATGACTTTTTACGAAATGAAAGGTTACTATACAGGCTTATCTTTTTATTGGGGATCTGGATGGATATGCAATCTGACTTGATGGACTGACCGTTCAGTATACATCTGGATGAGTTATTAGGACAACGAATGTTGACTACCAGACTATCAGTCATTCGTTAGAGGTAAGAAATGTCTGCTTTTGAGACCAAGTTCAATCTCTCAAACGCATCAACAATGTTTCATGTCTGCGCGAATTACCACAAACGCGACTCACTCCTTCAAATTATCTCCCTCGCCATAACGCCATATTTAAATTTTCTTGTAACACGAGCTTACCTTCGAAAACTAACAATTTTATACACAACACGAACGCACCTTATCCGCTGTTTCACATTGTGTCCCTGAATTGAATTTTCGAAACCGTAACAGTTGTGCAAAATCCAGACTGAGTAAGTTATTTTATCCGCACTAAGATAATCTGTTAGTCATGCTGTCAAGTTCATGCCATGCTCCCGAAAACTCCTCTACAGCCCTCTACTCACGCACTCCGGACTGACGGCTCGTTCTGCATTACCTGCTATTTGACGGCCCATGGCACACTGCTTTTTGTGCAGAATAAATCGACTTCCAGTGCACCTCGACTTCTGTCATCACACAAGATAAGATCTTTGTTTGTAGTTCTGGTTGATCTGATGTTTTTGAGCTCCACATATGCGCCAAAGACATTGGTGACAATTGCCATGAGGTGAGTTTGACCCAATTCCCGTTATCCGTTGCAATAGCGCTGCCCGCGCAACCAATTTTCTTATGACATGATCCGATGGCAAAGCACTTTAGCCTTTCGACCCTTAGTACATTGCTTGTGTCGTGCAGCCAAACCG